GTTAGGAAATACAATCTTTGAGGTTCCCTGCTGGTTTAGAGGACTGGAGTGTGCAGCTCTTAAAAGCATGGTGTTAGATAGCCACTCAAATAATGTATTAACAGTAGTGATCAAGAGGATGTGCAAAACGAAAGGTACTTGGAGAGCCAGATAACCATATCAAAGTCAGGCTCGAGCAATTTCAGAGATTTGCCTCAAGTTATGGGGCAGTATTTACTATAATTATGTGACTACACTGATAAATGACAGTGATAGACAATTTTTTTTCTCAGAGCTCTTGCATCCCATGTGAAACTCCCTGTTTCCTTTTTTCATGCAGGAGACTTCATCCTCTCTCCATCCCCATTATGCTCAGTCGAAAACGTCTCTTAATGATACCTTTGTCATTGAATTCTGCTATATTCAAACATATGATGATCGTCCATAGAGAACATTAAATGTTTTCTGACAAAATCCACAGCACTGCCACTTATTTTATTTCCTGCAAATTAATACTGGGACACGGATGATGGTCCAGTTAAATAACAACATCAAATTCAAACCAAAATATGACTCAGTGATGCATGTACGTTAGGTTTGGTTTAGGAGGCAATGGAATATATATATTTTAGGCAATAAATCTTCGAGAATCTTCAGTGGAAGGAACCCAGTATCTCATAGCAAACTGTACACAATTCATTATGTATGGGGAGTCTATTTAGAATTACTATTTTGCTGTGTGGTTATCATCACATTTTTCTGTAATTCAAAAATTCTAATGTAAATCAATTAGGGCTTTAGATAGAATAAATCAAATGTTCCATCGTCATATTTCAAAATCTTTTTTCTATGGCAAAACTGTTGCTGGTATTTACCTGAATCTCTTCTATCAATAGTGAATTGTCTATGGCATGAGTTGTAACAAAAGGCCAAAGCAATATCAATCCACCATAATGCTACTGGAAAAACCTTCCTCCTGAAATGCTCTTTTTTTATAAGCACACCCTTTTTCCTCCACCGCTCAACTAGATCTCCAAATTTCTGTATCATGCAAAGTTTTTTCTTTTATTAAAGCATTAAATATTTATATTCTTGAAGTTATTGATTGCTCTACATCCTTTTTTATGCACAATAATCTAGGCCAAAACAAGACACAAAGATATTTCTACACATGGTCGCAATGGGAAAGACTCAGCATGAGCAAGGCAGGTGCTGGAGTGAATTTTGGCAGGAAGAAAAGACAGATTATACTGGTGCTCTGAGCAGCTGGCTAGACCAGAACACACAGTATGTGAACGTCCATGCATGTATCCAAGAAGGCGGGAGAAGCCAGGCTAATAAATCTCTCCAACAACATCTATTGCTGTAATGAGACACTTCTTGTGTTTCCTCTTTCTCATCTTTCACATCACATACACACACCCACATGCCCTAAACCGCATACACACATGCACACACCTCTGGGGAGCTCTTGCATTCCACAGCATCCAGGCTTGAACAACCACTTTTACCCTATACATACTGTATTTCCCAGCACTGGATCCACTAGCCCTGATGTTTTCAGGCTTCCGTTGAACACAAGGACAACAAGGAAACAACATATTTTCAGCCATTTTAACACAAAACACTTCCTGAAATTTGTGAAAAGGTATTCACCTTTAAATGGCCATGTTTATTTTCAAAATTGCATCACTTCATCTCAAGAATCTCCAGGTACATGAGGTGTGCTCCAATTTGTCCAAGCTCAATAGGTCCAACAAAATTACACGTAGATTTTCCTCTCTGGTTGTCTCAATTTAAATCATCATATTTGAAGAGAAAATATTTAGTCTAAATATTGTGGTTGAGCTTTCATGCTATTAATCCTAACTGCTTTAACCCTTGAATATCCTGTGGTGCTATTAAGTTAAACAGAGTACATGTATGTTTTGTAACTATTTTTTTTTCTATTAAAAACTAATGGATGAAAAATCAGCTTAGCCATCTAAACAATTTGGTTTTATAAGTTTAGGCCCTTACTTTTCTAAATCCTACACAAATTGAGAAAAAATGTAACATTGATTTTGATAATTTGTACCTCATGAACAATGACATAGCTGTTTTTTATTCTTTCTTATTTTTCTTCACGAGAACTATGAATGATTTAACACCAACATTCTTTGCATAGTGTACAATAATCTAGTATATACACACAATAGCCTCATCTTTTTCCAAACATCTGTGCTGCTCAGACTGATAAGCTCAACTCTATACCAAATAAATTATGCACACAGGCCAGTGAGGTTGCTGTTGTATCAATAGCAGTAAACAGACTCTCTCACTCCAAAAGGTACTAAAATATCCAGGACAAGCACAACCTCACAAAAAAACATAATAAAAATAATGCAAACAGCGACAACATCAATCCATCCCTCTGTCCATTTTTCTGAACTGCTTATTACCAAATGGGGTCATGGGGGGACTGGAGCCTATCCCAGTAGTCAATGGGCGAGAGGCAGGGTACACCTTGGACAGTGTGCCAGGCTATAGTAGGGACCAGTGACAACATATTACATTCAAATGTATACATTGGCACATCCTGACAAAAGAACAGTCTTCTTTCAACATTTTAAAACCATTTATATCCTACTGATGCCAACCACCCTCATCTTCTCATCCGACAGCTCTCACTGGCATACACAACATATCAAGCTAAAAGTACTAAACACACCAAAAAATTAACGTAAAATTAACTACCGGTAACCGAGAATAGTATTCTCAAATAGTTTTACAAATAAAATTCATTTAGGCCCAATACTGTATGTATGAAGTTATAACCTGCAAGTTTTAGTCAGAATACATCCATCGCATATCCACTTGTTAAACCCTTTGTATTATGTACAGGCTATTTTTAAGAGCTGGTTTATGGGACAGTTTAAGTCATATAATGTCAAAGGGCCAAACTTGTATGGCCCTTTCAAATTGGAAAAGAATTCCCAACCTTTTGGCAAGAAAGAAAATACAATGACAATTAACAATGACAATCAAATTTTTGTCTTGATGTACAAACCGTTGAAATAATATAAGGTTAGAATGTAATTAAAGAACAACCCGCTAACATTGCTTGTCGGTGTTGATTGCAAAGCAAAAAGAAGTAATTACAAAATTATAAATGTTTTCTCAGCAATTAGGAAAATGGAGCATATTTTTTAACTGGAAAATGGGTGATGAGTTTACTCTGAGCTGGGAATATGAATACCCTGCCAAACTGCTTTTAAGGTGATAGCTACCTTAGGCAATTAAAAATAGGCACACAGGCAAACGAGAAGTAAATTTTCCCCTATATACTTCCCTCAAGAACTGGTATAAATATCTGTAGACAATTTTTCCACGCTGAACGCTAAAAACTACAATAATATGAATATATCCATTATGGGGCAAATGATGAGTGGACTTCCTTTAACAGGAATTTCAAAGATATTTCAAAAGTCAAAACACACTAAAACAGCACATGACACTTACCTGTCACAGCCCTCCTGATGGACCAGCGAGCTGTCCAGAGTGCACCCCACCACTCAGCTAATGACAGCTTTGATAGGCTACAGCTACCCTTCCGCCGTGACCCTACTCGGTTTGTGTAAAAGGAAGGAAATGGACGGTTGGACGTCACTGTGCGGACCAAATGACAAGCAAAGTAACTGCAGATTAAATGACTCACATTGAGCTAAGACTTCATGCCTGCAACAGGAAAATTATATTTATGCTATTTGTCAAAGAACAATGCTCAAATGACACGGCAAAAGAGAAGTGCTTTTGTAATGCCCCTGAAAACAGGTTGTGGTCGTGTTGCATTTCACATGTGAATATTTTAAGAGAGCTTCTCCATTGGTATAACGAAATGTTAACCTGTGCAAGGGGCAGAAATAGCTCCTGTTACTTCCTTAAAATGAATGATAGTATCGAACGAGAACACCAAGTATGATGCAAGTAGTTGCTCTAAGTCCTCTTTTTCCTATTATTTCACAATCCATTTAGCTTTGTTGCATTGTATCATACCAACGCTACTTAGATTTACAACATTACGTATTATGAAGTCTGCTGCAAAGTCTTTTCTTTTCCCTTTTATTTCAAACAGAACCCAGATTATCTCCATATATACAGTTTATTAAAAGAAATATGGCAAATAAATTGGACGACATGGAGGAACAAATCATCAGGAAATTAGGTAATCAGATGAACAAAAAAACCTTAAAAGTAAATTGGTTTACATGATTCGATGTAACCTGAAATATTTTTTTTAAGATATACAGAGTGATTAAGCAGTTCAATGTATTCTAAGCTTATCTGCTTTTGAATTGCTGTTGACCATAGCTAAACACTACCACCAAGTGGAAAGCTTAGTGTACTATAAACCATACTGCAAGTATTTGCGTTTGCAATTTATTGCACAGCATTAGCATGAAGGTTAACAAACACACACATTGCTCTTCAACAGCAAGGCAATACTCTTTACTCCTCCATTATTTTAAATATTCTGTTGCATCCTTATTCTGGGAACCATTTGTAAATTAATTCACAAAATTGATCAAACATCCACTATGATGTCACAACAATCTATCATCTTAAGTCTTTTGCATTTAGGGAATGTTATTTATAAATCTTCACTTAATTATGCACAAACCATTCATATTAAAATTGCAGAAATAACCCATATGACAACATTGTAAGGATTTAAACAAAGCTGAAAAGGAAAGGAAGCTGATATATTAATCTCTAATGGAACAAAAAAGCTGGTACACAAAAGAGCATTTAAAAAAGATATGGACGGATCATGCCCTGCAATGGACGGGCAGACTGTCCAGGGTGTTCCCTGCCTCTCGCCCATTCACAACTTGGATAGTCTCCAGTCCCCCCACGACTCAATTTGGGGATAAGCGGTTCAGAAAATGGATGGATGGATGGCCTGATTACACTAATGTTCAGGCTTTAACCAATAACCAAGTCGAGATGTGCTCAAAATAAGATTATATTTTTTTAAGTAGACTCAATTGCTGAAATTAACTCAAAGGAGAGGTGGAATCTGTTCAGCCTCAAAGTCTTCAAGTTTTTGTGGGTTTTGAAGAAACCCTCCAAGGAGAAGCTGCTGTCCTCGGTACAGAAATGCTTACGTAGGTGTTGAAGATCAAAGTAAAATCAACGTCAATGCCGTATGACCAGTTGAACATTACATGCTATGGAAACCAGTGAAAATAAGTCCCAGGCTTTCCGAGTGCTTTGATGAAAGGTAAAGGCACATATTGTGGCCTTTGAGTTAAAGTTTAAGTTTAAATTTTTTAAAGCTAATATGCAGCTAAAATTAGTCAAATCAATCATGTCAGCAGAAATTTTTAAAAACTTTTATGTCTGCCAAAAGACCAGAATGGTCCTTAAGTTCTTAAAACAATATACTTTTCTCCTTTTATACTGGCATCACCTCGCAAATAGTGGCAATTAGATTACATACTTCTTAATTTAAAATAATTACATTTGGATTTCTTGATATTTTGTATGAACATCTACTTCAGCAGTGGCCTAATTCTAAACACTCCTCCATATGCAGATGTGACTGGAACAAGCTTTCCCAAAAAGTACGTTTTTCTGTTTATTGATAAAAAGTTTGTTTGTTCCCTTGACAAATCTCCTTTGAAATGCGTAAATGGCCTAGATTTTTGGGAGAGATTGCTCATTTTCCAAAGTACAAAACAAAATGACGTTTAGAAAATTCCCAGAATAAATGACAATATTTGAAATTATTCTAAAGTAAATTAAATTAGACAATAATGTTAGGGTACAGATGAGCCAACACGACAGGCCAATACATTTACTGGACAACTGGAGATTTAAAAAGCGATTGTCAGAAATATACCATGGCAGATTGGAGAAGCCAGAGTCCAATAGTTGCAAGAAGAGGGAAATGAAAGTCAAGTAAAATGTCCAAAGTGGAAATAAAGCAGGAGCGTTGCATGAACAGCTGACAGGAAGTCACAGGATTTTGGCAGCAGCTGTGACACTGTTTCAAGTATTTACTTTGCTCACAGCTGTTGAAAACAGATTACAAATAACCCGATCATGTTGCTGTTTCTTTATCAAAGCACAGAAAAGGTATGCTTTTATATCTAAATATTTTAAGCACATTTCACATCCTCATGCTATTTTATCAAATGGTCAGAAATGTTATTACTGCTCTGTTTCTATTCGCTGATGAAGACCTCTTCATATTTATTTTGATTCAGTGCCTGCTTTTTGGTTTTCTTCATACCGCACATTCAACCAATGAACTCCTGAAAAGGAAGTGTTTACAGGTTGGGCTTCCCCCATCGGTCTTTCTTTAAGAGGATGTCAGATGCATTAAGAAAACATAGAGAGGAAGACATAGGGAGAAAGAGAGACGAGCACACTTATGTGAGGAAGTCCTTTATTTTGTCCCCGCTAGTCCTCTTCTTGAATCAAAGATGCAGCTTATTCGTGGTGGATCGCCTTGGTTTTGTGCTTTGACACTGACATTTTTACAACTTTGGGGTAAGTGTTTACTTTGTCTTACTACAAAAAAAGATTTGGTGTTTCATGTTGATGAGTCATTTATATTTTGTTTAATGATAAAGACAACATAAAAAACTTGGATGGATAGCTAAAAAAATTAATTTCTGCCTGTTGTAAAAACATTATTCTTCTCTCAGATTTTCAGTTGCAATATCAGTTTAGTACAAAGTTGACGTCAGAATATTTGGCAATATGGGCGATTAACACATGTGCTGAGGTAGGACTCCTGATACAGTTTTTTCAAGTGACAAGTCATTATAATTTCTTACTCTCTCTAGGAAAACATTCAGCGTCATCGACGGCTTACACTCTTCCACCGCCATCACTGAACATATATTCCAGGTCAAAAGACTCAGTGGTCCTGATCTGCCAAGCTCCCGAGGGGCATTTTGGGATTCGGTTCATGTTGTACAATAAAACAGAGCAGGTAATTAGATTTTTCAGATGTGTATATATTTTCCAGTTTCCAGCGTGTTCGAGTTGTGCTGATCTGCTGAGATTTTCTTTATTCTTTCTTCGTTACTACTTTTGATAAGGTGGACTCAATGGACTTCCAGCCAGCTGCTCGGGAGGTTCAGTTTACCGTAGAGATGAAAGGATGGGAATTAGGAAAACGTTACCTTTTCTGCTGTTTGTACAGAAGTCGGGAGGGATTCTACAGCGCGTTCAGTCCATATTTACAACTGGAGCGACAAACAAGTTTGTGTCATGTTATTCAGCACTCCCTGCAAGCAACTCTTAACATAACAGCCCTCAAATATTTATCTTTCTACTTGTATTTCAGTCATTGTGGTTTATCACTGTAGCGATGACAGTTGGCCAGAAGGAGGAAAGAGGCCCATTTAATAAAAAAACAACACATTTGCTGAGCTGAATCAATTCTCACACGGTCGTGAATGTAGTATAAAATAATGACATTCACATCCGCTGCACTCCAACTCAACATTACACTCTGTCTGCAGGTGTTCTCTGTGGTTTCTTATTGTCCTCTGCTCTGTGGGTGTGTGTTTCTGTAGTTACATCCTGCTCTTCATATAGAAAGCACACACCCACCCACACAGACACTCTCACACACACACACAAAAGAAGACCCACAAAACACAAAAAGTTTCAACTGTGGGCGTTTGCCAAGGGAGATTTAGTCAGAAACTTTGGCAAATGAGGGTATATGGGTATAATAATGAGTAAAATATGAAACGATAAAAGAATTACAGTTAAAATATGATTTTTTTTCTACTTTAGGTCTCGCCCCAACACGTAGCGTTCCCTCTTATCCCCCTCCACTCTTGTCTGTGGAGCCCTCTACAGGAGAGATAAAACGTGGGGAGACGCTCTCTTTCCGCTGCATGGTGCCCACTCATCCCAACCAATCCCAATCACAGTCCCAGTCCCAGTCGAAGAAACCAGCGACCTTTCTGTTGCTGAGGACTGACAAGCACTCTGGGCTAACATCCGTCATCCCGCAGCCTCCATCCGGTCAGGTTTCAAACTCTGAAACACAGCCAGGGGTCTTCACGCTGGGGCCAGTTTTGGGAGGAGAAGAGGGCGAGTACACCTGCCTCTACCAAATCACCAAAAAAAGGGGAATGATTAATTCAACGGTCAGCAATGTGGTGCAAATCACTATTACAGGTGATGATGTTCTACATGTTTCTAAATGTGAATTTACTAATAATCTTCAGTTGTTGATGATGGGGCGGCATACTTCTTTTTTTGGTTGTTTGATTTATGTCACTTCAATATGTGTGTCTGTAACACTTGAGTGTTTCCTGCTTAAGCATTTAGAATAACCTTTATTTCAATTAACACAAAAACACACTCCACAGGTCATCTTTAAGAGTTTACCTTTTACAGGTTTTCGGTAATTGTTAAATTTGATAAATGGATCAAGTCACAAAATATGTTTCAACCTAATCTCCCACAAACAATGCAAAAACCATTATTATTTTAATAACATGATATCAGTCCTAGCATTGCTTTTTCAAAAGAAAGGTTAAACAAAGTAAGAACTACTTTTTGGGGGTTATTTTGTCCCATACAGTTAATTTCTTTAAGTCATTGCTCTTTCGCATCAAGTTTTCATCCTAATTCTGCAAAATGCTTGGTTAGAAGATAACCTGACTCAAAAACTTTATAGAGCAGTGTTTCCCAACCCAGGTCCTAAAGACCCTGGAGGAGTTCCTGGAGTTCCACTGAACTTATAGAGCATCTGATGCGTTTTTTTACCTTTACCTTTCATGGTAAGGTGCACATATGGAAGAGTTATGTTTCGACAGTGACAAAAAATACATATTTAAGACTTTCACATTTTTCGATTCATCCGCCTTGATTTTAGGTATTTAACACATATCTATTTATCTAACAGACACATGTTTACAACCATGTATTCGGAGACAATTACATTTAGGACAAATTAACACATGAAATGAACAGAATAGGAATAGAATAGAAAATAGCTAGTAGACGGTTGTGATAGAACATGCACAGCATTTCACTGCAGATATTAATTTATCTGAGTCTTTTCAGAGAGAGGAGATGACTGTGGAACCTCCTGTACACGACTTCTATGTTGGCAAACCATTTCAATTTGTTATGCAGCAACACTCCCATGTGTTTGCAGATCTGAGGAGACTCCATCTCCTATCCATCTGTGCAGACTGATTGGCATAGAGTTTTAGATCTCCTGAAATCTACCGACAGCTGGTCTTGGTAGTGTTCAGGAGGAGACAGTTATTTTTTGGGCCCAGTCATTGAAGTTCTCCCACAAAGTCCCTGTAATTCCCCTCCAGTCAACTGCTCACACATGCCACATCATATTGTTACACGTACTATTGTGAGACTAACCTGATGAATTTAATGCTTTTATTGATACCTTGACTAATGTTATCTCATGTGCTCCCAGACATGCTGCCAGCGCCCACCCTTACGCTCCAGCGACAAACAGACGTGTGGCATTTGCTTTGCTCAGGGTCTCCTGCATACCCAGGTGGGGTGTTCTCACTCTTCCTAGCGGGTGATGAACTTCCTGTTGCCACTCACCTGGCAAAGATGATGCACCATGAAGTCATATTTCAAGTACCCGTGCAGGACACAGCAGTGGCTCTCTACCAGTGCCAGTACAGTGTCATGCTAATGAAAATGTGGAGCCATTCCCCAAGAAGCATACCCCTATCTGTAACAAGAGGTATGAACTTACACCAAACTACACATTGGTGATTTTAACACAATTAAATCTTAACTATTCATTCCAATCAACTTTCAGGAATTTCCTCACCTGCATTGAGAGGTAGGCCCAAAACATTATTTTACTTAAACAATGACTGTATTATAAATAGTGTATTACTGATCATGAATAAAGGTAAAGTCTCAAGATTACATATTCTCAAAGATCAATAAAAACAAGTGATAAATATGTGTTAGCTGCGATGAGATTTGTTTTAACAGGCAGATTTAACAAAGAAAACTTGTATTTCCCAGTTCTTGTCCTCAATCGTAATCATGTTGCCATGTGTGTGTGCCAGGTGTGGATTGGCCTCTTGTTTTAGGCTCTGTATCTGCGGCTGTGTTATTCCTCTGCTCGCTGGCACTTGTGGTTGTGGTTGCACAGAGGAAAGGTATTTCACACAAGAATCTCTGATTAGTCACTTGCCATTCTTTTCTACCTTTGAGGAACTGATTACTTCCCTCTTTATCTCCTCTCTTCTTTTCTGCATAGTGAGGGCAGCAGCTGAAGAAAAGAAGAGAAGGTATTGTGATGATGGATCTGAAATGCTGAAAAAAAGCATACAGTACAGTTGATCAGATCACTAGATAATGAGAATTTTGGTTATAGAATTATTTGTTTGTAAATGTGATCATAATAGTTTCTATCTTGCACATTTCCAGGCAGGAGACGCAGTTCTGGACACAAGTTCATGATAAAGACCATGTTGCCGGTGAGTTCTTTTCTTCAGAATCCCTCTTCCTCTTTCAGTTTTGTGAACTCATTTTCTGTTCACTCCCAGTTCTTCTTATCTTTTCCTGGGGACAATTATGGGCATATACATAACAATCAAAGTGATACGATACCCTGGAGTTATGTACTGAAAATGCAGCTGTTTTTTGTTTTTTGTTTTTTTCTCCACCAGACCTCACATTGAAACGAGGAAACTTTACTTCTCAGGTAAATATTCACCAACATCTTAATCTCCATTAGCAGCTGAATCTCCTCAATTGTAAAATCTGTGGTATTGCTCCTTGTGGACTAAGTAGGATATTTAAAAGACAGTGACACTGTGAAAAGTAGGACATAGTGCAGCAGCCAATGAGCTTGGGAAAAACCAAGGAATGTGAATATTTAGGACAGTGACATAGAATGATTTTTTAAAGATGGGTCTCTCAGGTTCGTCCAAATCTCTGATCATGAGCTTTATCAGCAAACTGCTATTTTGTGGTCTGAAATCCTAAATTGACTGCAGCAGTTCAAATTTGTGCTGTATTGATGACCAACTTGTGATGAGGCTGTATTGGAAAAGATAATAGAAAAGTAATAGAATGCTTATATGTCCATATATACTAGGGCCACCACAAAGCAGGACAAAGTTACAGCACAACTCAAGTTCAAATACTGATCCCCGGTGGCAAAAACCCCCAAAAACTACGACAGTGGGAATTGTCTCCAAAATGTCTGCAACAAACATATAGCCATTAAAACTAAATATACTGTTTGAATTATGTGGCTTCGGCTGTATTGAACAGAGCACATACGGGAGATTCATGGTGACTAGTTGAGCCTGTGACCTGATATCTGGCTGTTTAACTTGAATGACTTTGACACTTTCTGATATACAGCAGTTTTCACTCTTTCTGCTGTTATAGTACCTCTGATAATGATTTCCCTCTTGACTTCTTTGAAGTGTCCCCTGTGGTTTCCTCATATAAATGCATATTAAACAGGCAAGTACATTTCTAAAGACTATTTAACATACACAAGGTGTTGAAAATTAGATTCCCTGTACATTAAGTGATGCCCAATAAAACTCTGATGGAAAGATAGTGGACAAACCCCTTTCACTACCTTTTTTCTGTAATAAGGTTGCTGGTTTCTCTTTTGGATTTGCTTCTAAAAACAGCTATAAACCTCCCTAATTACTTTACTATAAACAGGTGCATATAGGCATTATGTCTGTCACTCTCTCTCACACACATACTAATACAATCTTAACCCCAAACATACCGTTGATATTTCTTATTAGTGTTGTTGCATAGTGGTTGAGGATACCTCTCATTGATTATGAATGCTGAAATTAATCTGTCGGCCTAAAGATGTTCTTCAGGTTTTCCTTTTTTCTCTCAAGCGTTGTCCCTTTACCTTTCTTGTGAAGAGCAGGGATTTATTTAAGATACTTTTATTTATCTGGTGTGTTGATGCAAAGTAAAGCAACAGCTTTTTTCCAAAGCAGTTAAATTAAATGGAGACCTACGTTTCTCTGGAGCTTAATGGCAGAAGTGGATGGGAGCATTAACTTAATACTTAGAATAAGTAAATTACCAAATATGTTGATTGTTAATCCCCTTACATACGACACCTAAGTGTGTCCTCTGAATTATCCCCCATTTTCGCAGCAGGAAGGAAACACAGCTCATCTGTTTCCAGGTTGGAGTAAGTATAATTCTAAAGGGCTTGCAATAACAAGCCATGATGTGCAATAACAAGCCATGATGTCCTCTAAAAGAGGAAGGATGGGAGGTGGATGTGATCATGCCGAGGACTTTCAACCACAAGAACTTAAAAGTATATGTTGACAGCCAAATTCCGCTAAAACAATCTGCCTTACACCTTTTGGGTTGTGTTCATTCAGTAACACAACCTTTTACAGTCTCTGTTTCGCAACCTGTTAATGTTCCATTTAGGGTTAGAACACAATCACGGTTTTGGCAAAAATCACACTCTTTTTACTACATTTCTAGCATCTCAGTGTTGCTGTTTAAGAAGGCCGGGACTTTAAAAAGTATGGTATTATCAGGTCTTGTATATCACCATTCTCACCTCTTTAGACATTTTTTTTTACATGTGTCACCGTTATAGGCCACTTTAAAGTATTAGCAATTTTTTTTTTCCTTCAGCTCCTACTACTACTATAGGATAACACAGTTACTGTTGAGACAAACTCCCATTGAGCAGCTATACTCAGGTAAAGAGGTCCCACAGACACCATCAAAATCCTAAAAAATGATGTTGGCACGGCCTCAAAGTTGTGAATTGTGGCATTTAGGGCAGTATAAAGTATTAGAATGCACATAACAATAAACTTCTCTTGGAATATTGTAACTTAAGTAGGGCACTAATGAATTTTACATGACAGTAGTATATTCTTTTTCTCAATTTTCATAATGAGTTATAGAAAATATGCCTACATTTGTCATTAATGCTGTTGTGCTGTATTAAGTTACTTGTGAGTCTATTTTAGAAACACAACAACATATCTAATTGCGAAAGCAGTGGTTGGATATCGACTATGCCATCGGAAATTACCTAACGGTTAGATCTTTAATGGGTTGCCTGTATGTACTTTTTCGTGTACAGGAATGGGGGAACGAGGACACAGATGCTGCCTCCAGATCTCCGTTTTGGAACCCTCTCTCGACGTTCACATCCCCAATCCATCCGATTCATTAGAAATGTTTTTTCCACTCTAACTGTGTATGTGTGTGTGTACGTGGGCATGTATACGTGGGCGTTTATACTTTATCATAGTTTATCAGTGTTGCGCCAGTTGGGGTTGCACAGCAGGACAGGAAAGGGTATTTTCTCACTTCCCGTTTCATCTTATGTCCAGCGGCGTTTGTAGAGTTTAGCAGGATACAATATCTGTTTGATCTTAGTGAGCCCATCTTCCTAAATAAAGAATTTATCTTTATTCTTTTTAAATCTGTTTGGGATGTCTCCATTTTTCAATAACGATTGAATATTTAATATTGCCGTCAGAAAAAGCAGAAGGATATTTAAGACCCTGAGATTATATTTTTGGATCTGCCGATAAGAATTGATTTCACTAACAGGATTTCAGTGGAAAAAAGCATCTGTGCACAAAATCATACAATAAAAGCATAAAAATAAATAAGAATCCGTACAGTGAAACATACATAGACGTTTACACAAACCCAGACTATAACTGTACAAGAACAAAGTAAAAAAAAAAGATCAATAGTATTGTAAACAATATTTGTTGCATGCATCTACATCGCTGAGCCTTAATAAGTACCTTTTAAAAATGTAAGACATAATATGATGAAGAAGGCATTTGAAACATAGTGAAGTTGACCTATTGTAATTATAAAAACTTTTCAAGAGAGGGCACTGTTTCTACTCTATTTTCCATTCCCTCGTCTATCTATTTTTCTAAACCTCTTAGACTGAAGCGTATCCCAGTTGTAATTTAATGACAGGAGCTCTCTATTCAGTGCCATAGTGGGACAAAAAGGCTTCACAATTTTGATTGCTTCCATTATTCAAGGTGATATTTTCAATTATTGTACATTGTCACCTTGTCATAAATTAAGTGAAACAATTCTGGATTATCATCAGCTTTAAAATGTCAAATTACTAAAGATTTATTTGAACAAGTGATGACTGGAAATGCACCATATCTGAAAGAAAGTGCACTGTTAATGAGAAAGCAAACATAAGTGAGGAGTAACTATCATATCCTACCTGTTTATGTGGCTTTATGGTGCACAATAACCCAGTTTACAAAGGTCATTATTATCCCGGAAGTGGCAGTAAGACACTTCAGCACGACCAGGATTTTATCACATATAATGGTCTGCACAGCAGCACAAACCCTTCCAGGCCGTGCCTCACATACATACAGCTGATGTATGAATATACTTCATAAAAAGATAAAGAGTGAAAACACTTACATTAATACCGATTAATGATTGGTGTGTGCCACCTGTATGAATTACAGTTAATTCTTGTGTGATCATTAGCATTTACATGCAAGAAAAAAAAGAGCTACTCATCTACAGCTAATGGGTTGAGGCAAATATGTTTGACTTTGAGTCAAAATAACAATAGGAGCCCACAGCAATGTGAGTTTTTTGTGTTTTGTGCTGAGAACTGATGCAGCATTATTCTGTGTATTCCAGTATATGCATAAGTGAGACGCAAAATTGATATTTGTAATATACAGTATAACATTCTAATGATGATAATTTGTCCCTAAAACTCACCACATTCTGTGTTTTTTATGTACCACAGGAGTTGGTTGACAATGAACAAAAAATAGGGAAACAGTAAGTGTTTATATTTTCCCCTGTATCAAACAAGTTGCTGTCAATTTTGGCTGCAAACTCAATTTTAACTGCATTTTTGCACCTAAAAAAATGTCTTATAGAAGTGTTATTGGTTACTTAGATCTAATGTGTGCACCACTTGACAGAACTACACCGTAATTACATTTGATCTAAAGAAATGTTCCTGCTTCTCCTGAAGTGTATCCTGATCAGACAGCCTGGAGGCCCACAGATCTTCAAACTTCAAACCCACCGTCAAGAAACCAGTTTTTTCCAGAGCTGGAAAATTTTCACTATTTACAAATTAAATACATCTTTAGAAATTAAAAATCATTTAAAATTGATGACTCTATGGACTTATTACGTCACTGCAAAAAAAATCCACTTATTTGGCGCAGTATAAACCTAGCCTAAACTCAAAACTTAATCCCACTTCAAGTAATACCTCAGCCTAACAAATGATCTCAGATGGTTAAAAAACAAACAGTCTGAAGCTTTTTTAGGCTACATTAAATTATTGAATGAATTATTTGTAGTCTGTTAATCCTTAAATTCATGTGAAGTGATGACAAATGGATTACTTTCCATAAATAGCATAGGGCCGGTTTGTGTTTGATGAGGGTTTTAAGAAAGGGTCGTGCTGTGAGACATGAACTTGAATTACACATTTGTTTACATAAATCTTAAAGAGACACTTGACTTAAGTGATAAAAACAATATTTAATGGGATTGTAAAAAACAGAAATCTAATAGGTTAAGATTGAAATATGTTTGAGTACTGCACGAGGACGGCTGTTTAATGTAAAAAGGCAGTGACAGTTACCAACTATAATCAGGCCACCCCACCTTTTTTTTTTTAAAC